TCTGTTAAGCTATAATTTATAATTTGTTTTAACAGCTACACCAAACAGCACTAATACCTCGCTTGAGAGGAAGTATAAGGGTGCCACACTGAAGGGCGACGACCATCTATGCAATATTTTGAACAAATATTGAAGTTTACAAGCTGTCGAAAAGCTTTTTAGCACCTGAAACTCATATTGTTCCTGTGTTTATTTTTATTTTTTTTATATCAGATCTTCACAATGTATAAAAATAGATAATTTTAGTCTTCATATAATGAAATCAATAGAAAAAAGGAATGATTTAGAGGAAGAGAAATTTTAATGAACTTTTGTGGTAGTAATGGATTTGAAAATTGTTTCGCAATTGAAGATGAAAAATGAATGTATAAAGATTTGGGATAAAGGAACTACGGGTTTGTTTGGTATGTTCTTGAGGGCTAAAATAGTCATATAAGATAAAATAGGCTATTTTAGTTAAATATGATAAAATGTTACATCTAACCAATAATCATTTTATTTTCTCTTATAAAAGTCAAAAAAGCTAAAAAATATATCATAAATGAGACTTTTTAACGCCAGGTTAGAAATGAAAGATGAATATATAAAGATTTGGGCCAAATAAACCAAGAAGACTGGAAAATCCATAAAAAAAAAAAGAAAAGAAAAAAAAGAAGAAGATTAAATTTAATAAAATAATGATAAACAAATCTTATGAAATGATTCATATTTAAGTCTTTTTCTGGTATTTTTCTAGAACCAGCAAAAGCTCCTTCTTTGGCAATGATGAGGGCTACTGATGATGATCTAGGAACCAAGTGTTTTTTTTTCTTCATAATTTGTTTATTATTTGAGTGTATTAAAAATCATAATTTTATTTTAAAGAATAATTTATGAAAAAATATAAGGTATATTAAGAATAAATTATAATCTTAAATAATTTAATAAGGAATACTAATAAACATATGTTGTATTGATAGTAAATTACAACCTTAAATAATTTAATTGGCAGTATTAAGAAATTTGACGAACTGAATAATTTTTTGATGCAAATAAAGGCTTTATTTGAAAAGTAGATTGAATTTTTTAATTTTTTTTACTATTTAATTATTTTAATCTGGGATTAATTATAATTTAAAATCAACGAAGCCCACATGCCACTTGCCACTGGGCTGATCCTTACCCACTTGATCAAAATCAACAAAAAGATTGCTGCCACGCCAAAAATCAATAAAGAAAAGTGCTCCGAACCTTTTTTAATACAACTTGTATGTACGGTGTTGTCCCACCTCTGAGCCCAATAGGCTATGTACTCATAAAATCTTAGGACTTTGATCTGGGACACACGACAAACATGTACTAAATTGGGATGGGACCTACTATAATATCAACAAGCACCAAGATGAACGGCTCTTGACAATCGGAACTCCCAGTGTTTACTAGGAGTGGGCCCATCATCTCATGTTAACTTGGATCGCCTGATTGATATCAATCAAAACCCAGATGTGGAGAACAGAAAAAGGGAAGCTGAGGATGTACGCACTGTAGAATACTCTCCCTAATAAAGAATGGCAACAACAGCTAGATTGTAAAGCTTCGTCGACATATAAGTTCCAATCAATCAACATCGAACGGCATTGGCATGCGGGGGATGCAGTTGATACTGCCTTTTTAACAGTATTAGTCTTTGATCAGGACCGTCCATACTGTGGGACCAGACACTGTCAAGTAATCTACCAAGATGCCACCACCACAATCCAATCACGATTCCCTGTAGCATAGCCTACGTAATGACCAATGTCATTTTACCTAAATAAACCCCCACCACCTCTTCCCCTAAATGACCTCAACAACTCCTTTCCCGCCGGAAATCTCTACTGTTCCTCCCGTGCCCGGTGCACATCACACACAAAGTTAAGGGCTCTTTTGGAATTTAGCGTTAAACGTCACGTTTTGTGGCTGAGCAAAACGTAAAGTTACGTTTTTTTACTCATTTGGGAAGCGGTAAAAAGTAGGTTGGAAAATTACATAAGTACCCTCAATGTTTATATCTTGTAAGTTTGGGTAAAATGTGATTTTTTTAAGTTTAGTGAGGTTATTTTAGTCATTTTAGTGTAACGTGACATCATAAATAAATATTAATTAAAAAAAAAAAGTAATTTTTTACCAACTTCTCAAATCACTCTCAAAAAGCTTAGTTAAAAGCAAAAAAGTTGTTTTTTACCATCTTTCTAAAATACCAGTAAGTCCGCATTTGGACACGACTCAATTACATAATCTTTTTTTTGAATCATGACTCAATTACATAATCAAATGCATCTCTCTCAGATTAAATGTGAGACACAAAATAAAATAGCTGTTATGAAATGTTTTAGCCAGTTGGTTAAAAATTGATTTTTTTAGTTTTTTTTCAATTTTTTATCTTTTAGTAAATAAAAAATATAAAAAGTAATGTGACTTAAAATAAGTTATAAATCAAAAATTGACTTTTAACTATATTGGGGTGTTTGGGAAGAAAAAAAGTAGTCAAATTTAGGCTAAAAATTACAAAAAGACAAAATATCACATCAAACCCATAATCATTTCACTTTTTCTCTCACAAACATCACATCCAACCACAAAAAAATCCAATCATCTTCCTAAACACAAAAATTTTAGCGACTTAAAATAGCCAAAAACTAAAATAGCCTACTAAAATAGCCACTTCCCAAACGAGACCATTGTCAAAACAGCCCTATATCTATTTTTGTTTTGTTTAGTAATTTTTTTTTTTGAATCATGACTCAATTACATAATCAAATATGTATCTCTCAGATTAAATGTGAGACTTACAAAATAAAATGACTGTCATGTCTATTTTTATTTTGTTTTTTTTAATTATTATAAATAAATCGGTAAAAATAATTAATTAACTATTAAGCCTCCGTTTGGCAAGGGCTTTTTCAGGCTTTTTTGGCTATTTTAGCCACAAAAAACAAAATAGACTATTTTAGCCATAACAAACAAAACATCACATCCAACCTATAATCATTACATTCTTCTCTCACAAAAAAAGTCAAAAAAGCCAAAAAGTCAAAAAATCCTTTCCAAACTAAGCTTTTTAGCCCAGGCTAAAATAGTCAAAATAGTCAAAAAGTCAAAAAGCCAACCCACTTTCCAAACGGAGGCTAAATTAGTATATATGGAGAGAGTTCAAACTCAAAATATTCTTTATAAACATTTAAGACTTCCCTCTCTATGCACGCCAAATGACTAGCTACCCAAGCTACAACCCCCTTAGCTAATAGCTATGTCTATTTCTGTTGTTTATGTGTGTCAAGATGGCAAAAGTACAAAAATATACAAAATAATACTAGTCAATACATTCTTTCAAAGGGACAAGGAGCAGTGAAAGCAAATGATTGAAGAATTGGATGAGTTGAGACTTCAGAAAGCTCAGAAAATTCAAGAATTTTTATCACAGAAAATGGAATTGGGTATTTGAATATTGATTTTTTAGACCCAGTTTTCCATCTTCAAGCAGAGAAATCTTGAGGGTGTGTTTGGTAACGTTTACGTTTTTAATTTATATTTATAAAAATTTTATAAACTGGTTTTTGTTTATTTTTTATTTATTTTTAGAAAAACATAAACTACAAACGCGTTTGGTAATTGACAAAATGTTTAAAAAAAATTTAAAATATAAAAAAGAGTGAGAAATGGCAAGTGGCAGCAAGTGGCGGCGGAAGACGATGGTGGAAAGTGATGACGGTGGGTGGTGGGTAGCTGGTGGTGTTGGGTGGTGGCGGGTGGGTGGTGGTGGTGACGGCGGCGGCGGCGGGTGGTGGCGGCGGCGGGTGGTGGTGGTAGGTGGGTGGCGGATGGCTGGTGGTGGTAGGTGGTGGCGGGTGGGTGGTGGGTGGTGATGGTGGTTGGATGGGTGACGATGGCGGGTGGTAGCGAGTGGGGACGTCCCTGTGAGAAGGGCGGCTACGTGGAGGCTTTTTAGACGAGAAAGGGAGGCTTTCGTCCGGCACTCGACTCAAGGAGGACGGCACCCGCATCTTTTTAGTTTATATTGATGTTGGAAAGCTATTGGTTGCTCCTCATCCCAAACAACATTAATTTGTTTGGTAACGTTTACGTTTTCTATTTATATTTACAAAAATTTTATAAACTAATTTTCGTTTATTTTTTGTTTATTTTTAGAAAAACATAAACTACAAACGCGTTTGGTTTAGACAAAATGTTTTAAAAAATTTAAAAAAAAAGTGAAAAATGACAAGTGGTGGCATGTGGTGCGTGGTGACGAGTGGTGGCGGCGGAAGACGGTGGTGGAAAATGATGGTGGGTGGTGGTGGTGGAAAATGGTGGCAGGGGGGGGCTAGTGTTGGGGGATAAAAAAAAAAAAACCTCAAAACTCAAAACGGAAACACATTTTTTGTGTTTTCATTTTTTTGCCAAATTTATAAACTGAGACCACTGATTTATAAATCAAAAATTTTACCAAACAAGTTTTTATTTGAGTTTTTTAAATTTTTGTAAATATAAACAGAAAACTGAAAACGTAAGTGTTACCAAACGGCACCTGAATATTTGCGTTGTAAGTATATAGAAAACATATGATCGACAGTGAGGTCAAGTTTGACATGATTGAAAAAAGATAAAAAGTCAAAAAGTTACTATCTTATTTAAGTCACATCATTTTATTTAAATCACATCACCTCTCTAACACATTACTTCAAACCCAACCCAAACCCAATCCATATTTGATAAAAAGTCAAAAAATACGCTTATTTAGTCTTCCCAAACTAGGCCTGAATTTTACCATTGTTGCCAAGTTTTCACCTTTTCTGCAATCAGTTGCTTCAGAAAGTAGAGTATAAATAGAACAGAGATCCAAACAGTAAGCTCTTCAAATTTCAAACAATAGAATTTGATCATAACGTTCAAAATCGAAGCTTTTTATCCAACAATGTGCATACCCACAAGCGAAATTGGTTGCTATTTTACCTAAAAATTATCTTAACATCACAAAAAAGAGTAAAAATGGCAGCTTTTGAAGCCCCAATTCAATTACAATTACAATAACAATTACAATTACAACTACTCTCGTGTGATAATTGCAAAAAAAAAAAAAATACAACAAAAACCCGAGAAAAAAAAAATCACAATTATTAATGCAACAAATAATCAATCTCATACCAACAGATACAATGCTATACAACCCAAACACAGAACGAGGCTCTGTACGCAATTCCTCGCCGACAACGATCGAATTTCTTCACGAAAACCCGGCGGAGACGACAAGTGACTCGGCGGCGAAATCTCCGGCGGCAAAGAAATCTCCGGCGGCTGAGCAACGCCGGAGATATCACTAACAGGCTTGTTGGAATTGACAATTGGGTTCTTCCCAAAGTACTCTCTCGGCAACAAAACTTCCGAAACCCCAAAAATCGCAAGTGGGTTTTGATCAAACACAGTCCGAGTCACCGCCGCTCGAACGATCCCAGTATCGATCGCCACCGACCCGTTAACCCTCGAGATGTTCAATGTGAATCTTCCAGCTCCAGTCCCCTCGGTCGCGAGCGTGGGTTGAACCGGGTTCACAATCGATTCGAGCGAACCGAGCGGGTAGTACGAGGGGAGTACGTGAAATTTCAACACCACAGCTTTTTCCTCGGCCGGCAACGATTGGAAACTCGCCGTCGCCGGGAGGTCGGAGAAGGCTTCGTCCGTGGGGACGAAGAAGGTAATTCCGGCACCGCCTTCGTCACGCTCGAGCTCGCCTACTACGCCGGAGGCGGTGAGAATCGAAGCGGCGACGTTGAAATCGTGGCCGTCGATTAGGGCTTTGGTGATGTTAAGACCCAATGGGGGTTGAGTCTCGGAGGCCATTAGATCGAACCCGTACGGGATTAAGAGGGAATTGATTGAGAAGATGCTGACATTATAGGGTAAGGTTTTGATGAGAGAGAGTACGGTGGCGTTGGAGTCGGGAGAGCGGACCGCGACGGCGTTGGTGGTTGGGTTGCGGGTGATGTTGACGGAGCCGAAGTTTGCAGTGGCGCGGCCGGTGGTTTGGAAGAGGGTGGTGATGAGTTTTCCGGTGGGCGGTAATTGGTGGAGGTCCGGCAAGGAGAGGTACTGGAGGAGGACGTGGTAGCGGAGGATGTCGGGGAGGTTCGGGTGGTGGGCCAAATGGGAGGAGTGGAGGAAGGAGTTGGGGACGACAAGGAGGGTGAGGGAGGAGCGGTGGGTCAGATCGGCGGCGACGGAGGTGGACGATAGGAGGGAGGTGAAGTCGGAGAAATCAGGGTAGGAAGAGAGGAGAGTGGTGATGTTTAGAGAGAAAATGGGGGTGGAAGTGGAAGAGAAGAAGAGGAGGAAATAGAGGAATGTGAGAGGGGTAAAATGGGAATTGGAGAAAGTAGCCATTTTTGTGTCTGGACTTTAGAGATTAGCAGAAAGTGGGGAGAGGAGTGAGGGTGTGGACAGTGGAAGAGGAGAGAGAGAGAGAGAGAGAGAGAGAGGAGATTGGGTGTGTGAGTGGACAGAGGAAAGAGAGAGAAAAGATGATGTGATGATGGTCTATGATGATGCTGGTGGTGCATGATGGTGATATGTATTATAATTATGGATAATAAATTTTCTGAATTTAATTTTTTTTAAATTTAATTTTTTTATTTTTGTATTCTTTTATTTTTAGTAATTTTTTTTTAATATTTTAAGAATTTTTTTTTTATTTTTTAAATACACCTAATCTAAATGTACCTCAAAGGTAAAATATTTTTAAAAAATATTTAAAAAGTTAATAAATATACAAGAATATGAAAATGTACTACTGAATTTTTTTAAAAAAAAATTTGATAAAAAAAATTCATAAATATTATACTTTTTAATTATATTTATATTAAGTGTATCTAAAAAATAAAAAATTTACTTAAAATATTAAAAAAAATTATTAAAAATAAAAAATACGAAAAACAAAAAAAAATTAATTTTTTAAAAATTGAGTTCAAAAAATTAAAATCAAACAAGGTGAATAATTACATGAATCTCTCTTATATTTTTAGGATTAAATTATTAATTAAATTCATTTTTTTTAATATTTTACTCACACAATTTCTCTCCCACCAACTCCACGAATGATGTGGCAAAAAAAATAAACAACAATGTTATAGAGCTCTAAAAAGAGCTCTACTGAGCTGGCAGTCCCCCCAAAAAAAAAAAAAAAAAAAAAATTTCAAGCTAAAGCATCACATCAAACTGAACCCCACACGCTTCCATGTCATTAGTGCATGGTTTAGAGCTCATTTCCTAGAGCTCTCAAGCATTTTTCAAAAATAAATTAATAAACCATGCTTCTACAATTTTCTTCCTCTCTCAAATTTTTCTGAACAAATCTTATCAAATCATTCAAAAAAATTTGTGAAAGAGAAATTATGCAGAGGTAGGTTACTTTTTTAAACATTAATTACATAAATAATTGAAGGAAAAAAAAAAGGCATAGGGCCAAGCTATGGAAGACCATTTTGATGCAGTCCAGGCCCAATTTGGACCCATCTTGGTCCATTATTAAACAATATTCAACATTGTTTGATTTTCTACAAAATATAAGAAGTGATCTCTGTATCATTCCACATTTTTGGAGAATTAATTTGGGTAAATCCTCCTCATACAAATAATCACATCAGAATGAGGAGTCACAAATTATTCAAAGAAACTGGTGTGACTTTCTTCAACAAGTAATGAAAATAAACCCAACAAAAAACAGTATAAATACAGCAGCATATTTTTTTGTGAACGGTTCTGTATTCCATATTCTATGTTGATAAATAGAATTACTCCATGAGAATCTATAAGTAGTGAATTACTTGAAGTGATATAATTAGTCATTAATGTCATGAACATTGTAATTAAAACTTCTATCGGATATTGATAAAAATAAAATGACTAATTACATCAATGGTCCTCTTAGTTTCTTCAAAATTTCACTTTGATTCTTGTACTTTGAATTTCGTCAATTTGATCCTTGAACTTTCTAATTTGTTCCAATTCGGTCTTTACTAAATCCTAACAATTTAAACACATGCCTTTATTTATTAAATAATTACATTAGATCGGGCCAATTAAACTATTGGGCTGATAATTTATTTATACTTTAGGCTTAAAGACTAAATTGACTCGTTTTTGAAAATTAAGGGACTAAACTATCACAATTGAAACTATTGAAACTAAAATGAAACAAATGTCAAATTTGAGAGACTATGGATGTAATTTATCCTAAAAAAGTTATTGAAAATGGTAATAAGTGGTCAGTAGTGATAGTAAATGGTGACCGGACATGGTTCTTGTATTTTGAATTTTGTCAATTTAATCCTTAAACTTTCTAATTTGTTCCAATTCATTCTCTACTAAATCCTAAACAATTTTAAACACACTACGCCTTTATATATATATAATCATTAAATAGATAGAGGCATATAGTAATTAATCAAACTTTTGGACTGATAATTTATTTTTAGTTTAGGCTTAAAGACGAAATTGATTAGTTCTTGAAAATTAAGGGACTAAACTATCACAATTGAAACCATAGAGACTATGAAACAAATGTCAAACTTGAGGAACTATGGCTATAATTTATCCTAAAAACGTTATTGAAAATGGTAATAGGTGGTCAGTGATGATAGTAAATAGTGACCGGTCATGGTGAGAAAGAGAGAGAAGAGTGAAAACGCTATTGAAAATAAGTAAAAACATTTTTTATGTTTTCAAAAGTTTAAAGTCAAATCTATTTTTTTTTAAACAAAAATATTTATACCAAACAAGTTTTGTTTACTCATCACTTACCTTCCATTGCTTTTCACCATCAGATCTATTTCCCATCTCTCTATAAGAAATCCTATTTCCTCTCTCTTTTTAAGAAGCCCTAGATGCTCTCTTTCTCTTCTTTTTAGGGGGGAGAGGGTGGTATTTTTGACCTTTCCCTCATCTTTGTTTTCTTCTCCTATCATTTCTATCGCTATGTTAGCCACTACTGTTCTTCTTTTATCTATCATCAGTTTGTCACCGATGAAGCTTTCAAATCTAGTCTCAAATTTGATTCATAACTGAGGTCAGATGTTGTTAAATACGTTGTTATACACTAGGCAACTACCTCAGATCTATGATATTTTTATTTTGTAACGTAAAGATGGAGATTCAGGTATCAAAGCTATCGGTTACAATAATGAACGGATTGTGAAGGTGATCAGTGTTGTTTGCTTGGTGATAATATATATATATATATATATTGCAATAATATCTCTCTATGTAGAGGTTTCTTCCTTTCATGGAGTTTTCTCCTCTTTATGAGGAGATTTGTTTTTCTTCCTATCTGGAGACTTGTATCCGTCTTGCATTGAGATTCTTTTTATTCCTCTTGAAATCTATTTTATACTCTCACTACAAGAAAAATGGCCTACTGCAACGTTTTTTTTATGGCATTTAGGGAAACGCCGCTATAAATTAATGAAACACAACGTTTTTGAAAAACGTTGTGTCTAATCTCAGTGAAACGGCGCCGCATTGGGTCAATGTATTGACCATCAAAACCTTCATCTCTTTGAACTCAATCTCTCTTTCTCAGTCTCTACTACAACTCAACTTCCCTCTCTTTCAAAACCCTCGATTTGAAGCTCTCGCTCTCTCTCTCTCTCAATTTCTAACACACACACTCTCGCTCACTCGCTCAATTTCTCATTCTCAACCCTCGATGGTTTGCGCTTCATCGATCTCTGTCGCTCGCAATCGAACTCTCTAGCTATTCTTTTTTGATCTCTGTCGCTCGAGGGCTTTGCTCTAGCTATTCTTTATCGAACTGGAACTCGATCTGTTCTTCATCAAATCGCAGATCCAAAATCCAAAATCGATCTGTTCCAGTTGATATCTCTTGCTCTTATATCAGGTACATTTTTCATTCTCTACTTTCTCATTGTCAAATCTGCTGATTAACTCTGTTCTTCATCAAAATCGATCTGTTCTTCATCAAATCACAGATCCAAAATCCAAAATAGATCTGTTATAGTTGATTTCTCTTGCTCTTATATCAGGTACATTTTTTATTCTCTACTTTCTCATTGTCAAATCTGCTGATTAACTCTGTAATTTTTTTCATTCTTTAGTTTTTTAAAAAAAAGTAGTTTATATAATTTGTGATGATCTTGTTGTTCTAGTTCTTTAGATTATTTATGATTTTAGCATTGTATACAATTTCGTTCTTCTAACCAGGCTGGTACTGAACTTTTTCATTGCTTTTTTTTGGGGGGGTCATGTTGTTTGATCTTTTGGAAGGTATACAAATTGAAGTTTTGTAATTGTTTATGGCCTCTAATTGGCTTTTGTATATCACTTGTTTGACAAACTATGCTGTTTTGATAGCTTGGAAATACACTAGTAAACTATGGTGTGGTTAAATTGTTGACAATTTGTTGTCTGTTTTTGGATTTTAATTCCAAGATCATTGTTGTAATGTATATGATGAACATAGAATAAATAGTCAACAACGGCTAGATAAGGAAGAAGTTTAATGATCTAGCTAAATTATAGGGTTGTTTATGGAGATAACCCCTTTGTAATGTCCACTAATTGGACACTTAAAAGATAGGCAACAAGATTTAGACATGGACACTTGAGGAATTAGGCTGACTAAGGTATAAAACCAGCACAAATGATTCAGGCACAACTTCATAACAATGTTTAAGCCACAAAGACCATTTATTATCAGCAGTTTTTAGAACTGGCCACATATCTTCCCATGAATGGCTAGTTTTTACACAAAAATCAAAATAAATAGATGATCCTAGACATGCTGGTTAGAAGTCTCCCTAAGTATCAAAACCTCTCTTGTTCTTTACCCTCTCCTACCCCCTATCAACTAATTAAATACAGAAGAAATACAAAGGGAAGGGTTCCTTGATCAGGCTTGATTATTCCTTTCCCTTTTCATCTTTGAAAACCATTTTTCACCAATTTAATAGAGATGTTTGATGAATTGGCGACTGTTACACTTAGATGGGATTTCTCTTGGTGTTTAGGGGGTGATGCTAATATCATTCGCTTTCCTTCAGGGAGGTTACTTGGTGTGCATATCTCCAGATTTGTGATAATTTTTTCCATCTTGATTGATGACTTGGGTCTGATGGACCTTTCTTTGATGGGAGGACCTTTTATTACCTAATCTAATAATCAAGAGGCTTCTTCCATGTCTGGCATAAACAATTTCTTGGTGTCTTTAGAGTGGGAAAAGTATTTTTGCTTAAGTGATTCAATTTTTAAGCATTAGTGAGGATAGTTGTTCCTAAAGATTTTCCACGTATGTCAATCTGTCTATTATCTTGTTATGATTTACTGCATTATTGTGTGGATGTCATTATATGATTGATTGATTAATTAGAATTGGCTAATTAAATAAATTAATCCACTTGGTAAATTTTAACTGCTAATTTGTTTAAAAGTCTGGCCTATTCCCAAAATCAAAGTGTCATCTTTTATTTGTTGGATTAATTTATTGGAAACGCAAAGCAAATAT